GGGCGATTGGTTCTTGTTTTGTTTGTTCCCATAGTTTCTTGTTGGTGATTCTTCCCGGCACAGCTATCGGATCTTCAGTATAGAGCGATAGTTGACAGTTGTTGTTAAAGGTCTGCAACAGGCTGTTGGAAATATTCTTTGTGACACGCCCGCCAAGTTTCTGATCCGTAAAGAAGAACTGACTGACTTGACGTTTGTATTGAAAATCCGACCGAATTTTGTTGTTGATACTGGCTGAGTGATGAAGACTTCCAGATTGGTTTCAGGCTGGTTGATGAATATGTTTTTCGCCTTCCTGATTCTCGCTCGATTTGAAATCCTCGTCTGTTCCGACTAACTGTAGTTGAGACAATGCTCACTAGATAAGTGAATGAAGTAACCTCTTTCAAATCCCTCCCGTTGATGGTGATTGACGCTGGATGTTGCTGTTGTTGTTGTTGTTGGTTGGTTATTTTCATAACCTCCGTCTTGTCTATGTTTATCTGGAGTCCTGTCTTCGCCGACTGCTTCTTCGACCACTTTGTCGGTTTTCGCTTGTAAGCCTTCGATTGTGTGTGACATCAAACATAAGTCATCCGCGAAATCCAGGTCTTCTAGGTTCTTCACGTCGGTCGGTCCAGGATATTTCTGTCTTCTCGTTTCCCACAGTCTGACACATAATCCAGTCCACCACAATTAGGAATATCATTGGTGATGGTGGAGCATGATTCCTCGCCGGTTCTTGCAGAGTCCTAGGTCGCCCTTCCTTGGTAGTTTTGGATGCTTACACGAAATCTAGGTAGAAGACTTCCTGCTGACTGCCTCCGACCATATAACATCAACACTTCACAGTGCATCGTGGTGTCGAGCTACCTAGTATGTTGAGCACATTGCATTGATGGAATTCAGTCTGTATCAAACAAAGGACTAGACTCATTAGACTAGTTTCTAACACTAGTGTCCAACCAAAGTATATGTATCCATACTTTAACACACTAATCGAAGTATGCCCACTGTATGAGGATACAAGTAACTTCAACGTGCTTTCGTTAACAGTTTAGGAAACATTGCGACAGATGTATTCCAGACGTGTCAAAAAGTTGGTAGTAGAACACCTTTTGAAAAACAGCCAAATATGACATTTGAAATGAATATAAGAACAAAAAGTTCAGTGAAGAGTCTCTGTCTTCAGTGAATTCATTCACTTAGCTCTACAATCGCGTTTATGTATCATAATTTGTGTGTGTGTGTTTGCATGTACACATTAGGATTGTCAGACAAAAATAAAATAAAAATTAGTTAGGGTTATTTATTGTTTACGTTATCAGAATATTTCAAAAATGTGATGATGATGATGATGATGTAAATATTGACAAGGGTTGCATAATATGAAATAGGATGTTGTTAATGGAGACAAGTGTCAGGCTTCTTTTGACTTTGTAGACGACTTTGAATGAATTCTGTATGCATACTGAGTGACCAGTGTTGAATATATGTTCAATTATAGCACTCTTTAATGATCCACTGTTACCTTTGCATGGCCAAACGGGATAATGTTCTTTGACGCTTTTAGATAAAACACGCGTCGAACGACATATATATCTCGCTCCACATAAGCAGGTAAATTGGTAAATACACATAGAAGTGGCCAGATGCGATAGTTTATCTTTGGAGTTGTTGAAGAACGATGGGCGGGCCTTGAGAATACCAATCGTAACGTAGCAGCAAGATAGGTTCTTTTGAGGGTGTTAGATATTCTTCTCTTTAGAGTGTCGGCCAGAAGGTCGCCTTTGAACGTTACATTTATGTATAGCATCTTCTTCGGCACAGACAAGATGGGTTGTTCTTTGTTGATTTATCTAAAAAGTGTGGTGAATATAGCTATTCTCAAGTGGTGTCTTTCTCAAAGGAATGATATCTTCTTCTACTGATTCGCGGTTGCATATTCTGCGGATTCTAGTCACAAGAGGTGTGTATTATCAGGTTCCGCTTGCGATTAATGGGTAGGCAACTGTAAAAGTTTGTTTTGTCAGCTGGCTGTTCCACGTAGGTTTTCGATAAATCGATCTTTCCATGCTCTTTCATTAACATCCTATTTCATCATACACAACCCTTGTCAATACTTACCAATCTTCACCCCCCCCCCCCCCTAAGTTACAGTTTGATTATTCATCGCATTTTCGAAACATTTTGATGACGTATATATATATATATATATCGATATATTATCTCTCTTTTGAATCTCTACTCTTCTCTCTTGCTTTGTGGACTACATGGAGTGTGGCAACTGGAATTGGTTCACATCATTGCAAAGTTCTACTTTGAAACTAGTCTGTCAGTTATTTGTGGAGACTTTTGCGATTAAGAATTTTAGAACACCTCTGTGTGTTCATAAACAATTTGTTATCACACTAGCTGACTGACTGGTTTCAACATAGAACTAATTTACACAGATGTGCAGCAGTTCGAGTTGCCACTTTCCCTCCATGTAGCACACAAAGTAAGAGAAGAAAGTAGTTTTATTGGGTCATAAGGAGTGGATGCATCTGCGCCAACCATTGAGAACGATTTTAAGCATTATCACCAATTATACAATTGGTGGATGGTGGCTAGCAGTGGAATCCAGGATGCGCATTTCGTCCTATTTGGGACTCGTCAGCTGGATGTACCTGCATTTTTCAGTGAGTGATGACGTTCCCACCGAAGCTCGAACCCAGTACCCATAGTTTCAAACGCCAAAGCGTTATCCACTAGACCACTTGGGCCACGAGAGTCCCAAATAGGACGAAATGCGCATCCTGGATTCCACTGCTAGCCACCATCCACCAATTGTATACTAATCAAATGCCCAGACATCGTCGACGCATCTGCACAAGAAGCCGACATGTCAACCTGAGACCGAGCACTTCGGTCCAAACAATCGACGGGAAAATCAAAAATTCAATTCAATTATCACCAATTGTCTCCAGCCATTGGTTTTTAACGTCCTGAGGACCGCAACCAGTCCTACGTGACTTAAACTAACTGTTGTGGATTTCATTGACTGAAGAAGACATGTTTTAATTTCACCAGCAGCCACTAGCTCTTTTCCAAACTGATCTATTCTATGTCAACTAACATATTCTATCAAGGAAGGTGATCGATGGCTAGGCATGCATAACACATGTCCCAACCATCTCTCTCAATCAATGTAACTTCACAGTTTCGTATATTGATTCCCCCTCTCTACGTAGCACTCGACCGATGGCCTAACCTCAGTATTGCTCACCCTTTCGTACCAATTCACTCGGAGATAGAATGTAGACACCTGTGATGAAAGACATCAAACGTTTTCATGTCTTCCTTTGTGGGTAAAATTTATTTTAATAAAGTCTCACAGTGTTACACAGTAGTATTGACTGATGATGTTTTGAGCACAATTTATTGCTCATGTCTTCCACTTTCAATAGCCATGTCTCGCAACCATAAAGGAGGATAGAGTGGACTGCTGAGCAGTACACGCGCCTTTTGATTGGTAACCAGCCGGGTATCACGTCTACTAAGCCAGAGACGGCGTAAACTGTCATATGCGAAACGGGCCTTCCATTTCCGTTCTGAGATTTCGTCAGCGATCTACCCGTTGGGGCTGGCTGATGCAACTTCCCAAATAAGTGAAGTGGTCAACGCGCTTTACCACTTCACTCCCTATTTCTAGGCTAAGAGTCAGTGTAGTGCAGTCCTGTAGCCTGATCATCTTTTGATGACAAAATTGATTTACTGTTATTCCTTATTTCTTCCTTTATTAGTCTTCGTTGTTATTATATGCGGCTTCAGTGTAGCCTTTTAACTTAACACCATCTACATCTATTCTCTCACCACTTCTTATATGTATTCCTATAGGAATTAAGTGCGTAAGTGTGCGCACATACTGTGCAAATACATTACACGCTTCCTGATGAATTAAGTCTTATCGTTTTATTGGAATTCATAAAAAGGACTGATTTCCAAGTGTTAGTTTGTAGGGATTTGATTGGTTTCAGGATTTCATCATGACCTGACACTAGTTAGAGAACCATTGGAAAACCTGGGAGTACTGGGCAGCTGTTTCGTTCTAGTTTGGGACTCTTCGTCAGTACGCACCCACCTGGGTTCCAGTGGGAAGTCGTGACCAGTAGGGTGCAGCGGGTCGGGTGTGAGGACAAATGCTCGCCGAAGACATTGGCTAGCGGTCGCGCTATGTCGTGAATTGGCAGAAGTTAGAATTCAAGGACCATTGGATCGGGTCCCAGTGGCTTAATGGTATACGAGCTTGCCTTGTAACAGGAAGGTCCTGGGTTCGAATCCCGGTGGGTGCGTACTGTGAAGAGTCCCAAACTAGGACGAAACAGCTGTCCAGTACTCCCAGGTTTTCCAACGGTTCTCTAACTAATGTCAGCTCATGATGAAATCCTGAAAGGGCTGATTTATTTGATGATTTTGAAGACTTTTACTTGTCAGAAATATTGAGATACTTCTTTAATAAGTTCGATTAAATTGGTAAATAGTGGTTACCGGCCTTTCAGTCTACTGCCGCCTAACCAGCTTCATGGGCGAAGACAGCTGTTGACGAAAGTCTGTAGTATGTTCGAATTGTCCCTCGTGACGCTATGGCCAAGTCTCTGATCCGTATAGCACTGACTGGCTTCACTTTGGAGTTGAAAATCCGGATCTTTTTCATGCTGAGGAATGCTATTGATCTCCACACAAACTTGGAAGTAATAAGAGCTTGTCTTGCTTTCCCTATCCTCGTTTCTTTGGTATCCTCATCAGCCCCGTTGGCCTGTAGTTGAAACGATGCTTCCCGGGTAGGTATGTGGGTGGGTAGGTAGGTAAAAGAGGTTGCTTCTTTCAGACTTCTCCCATTTTTGCTGATTGTTGTTGGTTGTTGCTGTTGCTGTTGGCCGGGTATATTCATCACGTCTGTTCTCTTTCTCTCTCTCTCTCTACGCATGTATAAAAGTGCTTTATATAAGTTTTTTCTTCCTATAAATCTCTGTTATTAGGGAATAATACCTAACAAGTCTGAAGTGAATCCATTCGGTGGTCCAATGCCTAAAGAATTGTTTGTATATAATCCTGAAGAAGTTAAACAGCTTAAAGATGAATGCTGTAGTATGCCTCATATTAATATAACAGAATTAGACTTACAATGGATACAAACACTGGCTGAAGGTTGGGCAACTCCATTGAAAGGTTTTATGCGTGAAGAAGAATACTTACAAGTACTGTATTTTGGTCAATTACAAGTGAAAGAGGGTAAGTTTATTTTATTGTATTGTTATAATAATAATTATTATTATTGTTAATACCCAGACTTGATATACTTTTTTTGGGCACCGAGAGATGCGCTACACAAAAATCTCATAGTTTTGTATGAGGGATGAGATACCGTGTGGAAAAGCAGAGCGAAGCAAGTGGTGGCTGTCTTAAGAGACTACCCCCCTCCTCCCTTGAGCCTTTGATCCCCAAGTTAGAGGAGCTGCGTTCTCACGATTTCCAGTGACCAAGACAGGTTCATACGTCGTCGATCATTTCGAATTCTGAAGTCTATGTACATTATAGGTTTGAACTTGTGGTCACATGAGGACATTTTGAGAAGAAGACCACAGTTCACCCACCTTCGGCAGTACCAGGTTGAATGCTTCAAAATTCTTCTTCGCTGGTAGTTAGATATTCAAAAAGCTGAGAACCGAAAAGATTAATAATAATAATAATGGTAGCTTTATTTCAAAATTACGCTTTTGGTACAAATATAGAATTTTCAGCATGTAGTACAGCATTTCATCTAACTTTCTCATTACACGGTGTAGTAATTAAAATACGGCATTTACATTAACAATAATTTACATTATTAATACTGTTCAATAAGAAATTAATATATAAACTAAATCAAGTGAAAATATTAACGATATTAATGTAACAATGAGATCAAAAAAATGGCGTTTACTTAGAGTTCCTCCGTAAGCTGGTAATTTCCTGTCTTACACTAAATAGGGTATCGTAGAGCATAGAGTCTTTTATAGTTGCTTCTAGTTCTACCCAATGAGATGCAACAAGAAGAGGATGCTTGGAGTCTGACAGGATAATATTTGCTAATTTCTTGCAGGAATCCAAATGTCTATCTACAATAGTATTAACGAGTTGGTTTAGCAACACCTCACTCGTCCTACTGATGGGTTTTACTACCTTTTGTGGTGTAACAAAATCTTTCTTAAGTAGGCCGGGAAAGATTAAGTTTTGGGGGAACAGTAAGGAAGGATAACTAGAATACAAGAATTAACAAACGGTAACAGTCAAGACAGAGTGATACCAGGTTGTCTTAACTTCCTTACGCAGAACGTCAGACAAGATATCTTTCTGGATACTAACATGATGTGTAAAGATCAGGAAAGATGATCAGAAGAAATAGACAGTTTCAAAGTGTTTAACATTCAATTTAGTTTCAACTTCAATGGCATCTATGATAGTGGGACCATGCGAAATAAACCAGTTCATAGAATTCGCGCTTGCATCTGAAAGTGACGTTAACAATCTGACATTTGGAGGCATACATCTTAAGACGATTTGATAAGGACCACTCACTAATTTCTGACCGAGAAGTAAGTGCTGACATAAACATAGTCAGATCATCAGTACACTTAACAAAATTGGCTTCGTCAGAATGGGGCAAGTAAGTCATGTAAGAAGAAGGAAAACTGGAAAGGAGAAAGAACAGCACTAACTGAGGAACATCAGCTAGAGCTAGGGAAGCATTGGAGGACTTCCCACTGTAAACAGTGTACTGCTTTTTATCGGAAATGCTTGTGACTCAGCAAGCTTGTTTAACAAAAGATGCCTAGTTACAGTGTCGAATGCATATTTAGCAACTCTATCTGAGCTAGAGGCAATATTATGATATAAAACGATAGCGGCATCTAAAGTACACATACTCTCTGTTTGTAAGCAAATTGATGAGGGTCGTGAAAAGCCTTCAATGAAGATTCATGCTTATGTAAAAGCAGTGCTTCCATTCTTTTTCTACTACATTGACCTTTGTATTTGACCTGACAATCGTTGCAGGCAGGGTATTAGATAAACTTAATTGTTTTGTTTCATTGGCTCCACTGGCAGGATGCTTTAACCAACAAGGCTTGTTTCTGATTCAGTTTGTGGGTTTGAATGCCGGCCACATTTATTTCTTGTTAAGAATTCTGCGTAAGGTTTCTCAGCCTCCTTTCTTGTATGGAATTACTACTGATGATTTAGATTCCTTATTGTTGGTGTCGTCATTAATATTGTTATTATCATCACTATTATCATTATTAATATGATCATTGTTATCATTATTACTGTCACTATCGCTGCTCACATTATTTAGTTTTACATTTCCTTACATATTTCCTGACTAATTTATCCGGGTAATTATTAAGTTTCAAGGTTTCTTTTATGTGTATCTCTCCCTGTCTTAGATTTTCCTTGGAACTACTTAGTTTTTGTGCTCTATCATTTAAACATTTCACCAATCCTATTGTCGCTGAAATAGGATGGGATGATCTGAAGTCCAAATATCTGTTTGAATGTGTGGGTTTCCTGTAAACGCACACTAGTGTTTAACTTACCATCTTCTTTTCTTTTTACGTTGCAATCTAACATTGGAAGTTTCCCCGATTCCTGACTTTCCAATTCATAAGTGAATTAAATTGCCTCTACCTTCGAGTTGATGTGTTTGAAAAATCTATCTATATCTTGTGTTCTGAGTACAGTGAATGTGTCATCTACATACCTTCACCATACTTTTGGGGGTGCGGTGGGACTGAACGTTTCAATCGCTATGTTTTCCCACCTATCCATGAATATATCTGCTACAATCGGGGCTATTGGTGATCTCATGGCAACTCCCTAAGTTTGCTTGTATATTTTCCCTTGGAATTTAAATACTGTGGAAGTCAGGCATAGCTGTGCTCCCAGCATTATATCCTCAAGTGTGGCACTTTTGTCCTAAGTTCGAGTTCTTTGTGAGAAATGAGTTCGTTTCTGACAATGTCAAAACTAACCATTTTTTCTTCATTATCTAATTTTAAATTATCTAATCTGTGTTTTAGTCCACAAATTTTGTTCGAAACCTTGTCATCCAGTAAATAATACTGTTTCACTGTGTGATACACGTAGTGATACACGTGTGATACGTAGCTGCTATAACAATCGTTTTATTACTATTATGTAATGGGTATTTTTGATTTTTTTTGTCGTTTTTGAGTAAATTACATGCAGTATTGTACTGAAATGCTGAAAATTCCTTGCTGTATCATGAGTACTGTTTTTGGAATAAAGCTATTATTATTAAAAAAAAAATTATTACATCTAATAAACAAACTAATATGGAATTACTACCACATTGCCCAAGTTTTACACATATATTAGTGCAATTTTACTTGCATAAACTATGAGATGGCGTTTTATGAAGCCATGACTACTGCCTTTAATGATAATTTTATTTTTTATCGAATACTCCAGGTCAGGTTGCTACAAATTTTTCAATTCCAATTGTGTTGGCTATATCAACTGAAGATAAGGAAAAATGTCAGGGAAATGGTTCATCAATTGCTTTAGTATATAAAAATAATGTAATAGCAGTGTTACAAGAGTGTGAATTCTTTCCACATCGTAAGGTATGTTTCTGTTTTGTTTTTATGTACTGTTATTAGACAAGTAGAAATAGATTAGGAAAAATAGGAATTAACTGATACATGGTATTTTTGTGTATATAAAAACACTTCTATTGATCCAGGTTTCTGACTAGTACACATTGTTGAATTTTAAGTCCGAACGCTTATCTATGTTGTTGCTGAATTGTTTTTGAATTGAATTGAATTTTTTTACACTATGTTGGGGTTCTGTGGGTGAATTCGTGCTGTTGGGGAACAGGGATGTGACAGCAGTAAGGTGTTTCCCTCAGATGACCAGCATGTGAGCCAGCTATGTTGTCTCTTCACTCTGGAGGGTGGGGGTTAGAAAAGGTCGACCCCAAAAGTTGTACATCCCGACTTACCCTACGATAGTCGATGACTGGCGGTAAGTTTACTAATACGGAGCTAAACCAAGAAACCAGTTCATACAGGCCGTGTTTGATCGGCCGCCCTCAAGCAGTTGTCCCCTGGGCTCGGTGGTCACGCAACACTAACTCACCTTCTGTTTCAGCCACTTGAAGAATAAATCAACTTCCATGGTATGGGCAGCTGGGAAGTAACAACCGCCCACGCACTTCCAAAAGCACACGAGGCGAGTTTCAAAATAGAACTTGGCACAGAAGTGCACCCCTTCATGTTGTTACACTCCATGTACCACACCTTTGGCTCGTAGACAAACGAGATAGTACAAAAGGACTATAATGAACAGAAATATAAGGGGGTAAAGAATAGTAACATGAAAAAAATAGGATGGTTTTGTGGACACGGGAGATTACGAAGACTGAATGCCTATTCGCGATTGAAAACGGCTTTGAGTCATATATCACCAACTGTCTCCAACCACTGGTTGATTAATTAGTTATTTTCAAAAGTTGTTTTGTAGAGAAGGTGGAGTACTGGACATCTGTTTCCTTCTAGTTTGAAACTCTTCGGCAGTATGCATCCCACCATCGAGGTTGGAATCCAAAATCTTCTGGTTATAAGACAGACTCGTAGTATACTCTGCTATTGGGATCTGATCAAATTTTCCCATGAATTTTAACTTCTACCAATTAGTGATTTTTTGGTGTGACCAACAGTTAGTCAATTTCAACTCATCTGACTGGTATCGGACTATGAGCCACACTTATTTTTTCAGCTTTATTGGTATTCCCCACTTATCAAGACTGAAGTCAGTGTTGCGAGATTCGAACGAGGGACCCAATGTTTGTGTGGTCAAATGGATAACGTAGGTTAGTTTAGTTCTCAAATTAGATAAGTTTATTTTAAGTATCTCACGATAATGATGCAGTATTAATTAGTAACTGGATGACAAGGTTTCGAGCATAAATTATTCCTCATTACCAATCATATCAACGTTAGTCACACGGTTTGACAATTTGTATTATTTATATTTTCTCTATTTCTGTCGCCAGCGTCACTTGGTGTTTGTTGCCACTCCCCGGTATAGGCGTTGCGTCATTCCGGTTGTACATGTGCGGTGTTGAATCGATAAATAAAAAAACTTCAGCGATTAGCGTCTCTCTCTCTCTCTCTTCACCTAACTATAATAAAATAATTTTTCCTTCACGTTCCCAGTGGAACATAGGGCTTCAAGCTATTGGCTTGAAGTTTCTGTAGCAGTGTTTATTTTACAGGATGGGGTTGCTAGCCTCATGCCAAACCTTTCCTCTCTACCAGCTATATTTCTGGCTTAGCGAGGTAAAGGAGTGCGTCGGCCAGGGATTGAACCCCGGACCATGTGCATGGTCGGCAAGCGTCCTAACCGCTATACCACCGACGCACTCACCTAACTATATTACATTTGAATACTCTTATCCTGTTCCACCTTGTTGTGTGGTTGATTACATGTAAGTGATTGCAATGCAATCGCTGAGCTCTTTTCCAGGCATTTAAGTCAGCCAACCAACCCACTGATATAAGAATAAAACTTGTGCACTGTGGTGGTGGTGGTAGAGTATAATTCCATTATGGGTAAAATTTGTTTCGATAAAGTCTTACAGTGTTATACAGTGATGTTTAATGATACGACCACGTTTCGAGCACAATTTATTGCTGCTCATAATCATATCAAGGTACTCACACAACTTACGAACTTCGTTTATATAATTCCACTATTTTCCAGCGCTTGATTTGATTGGTAGTAGTATTTTCCATATTTCTGGTATGAGTGATGACTCACTTCTATTGCATGTGTTGTTTTGGGTGAAGACTCGATGAACCAGTCAGGATTCAGTAATCAACCTATCTCTCTCTCTCTCTCCACCTACCTGTATTACTTTTTAGAATTTTAACCTTCCCCAACTCTGTTATGTGCTTATCCGTTAATGCATGCAGTGCAATTGCTGAGTTCTTTTTTCTAAATTACTTATCTTCATCAGTGGGGTCATTCATTCTAACTTTAGCTAAATTCCTATGTGCTGATAATCTCACTACACCTGGTCTACTGTTTTGACCTATGTAGTGTTGACCTCACTCACAGTCATTGTAAGGTATTTTGTGAATTATATTAATTTGTCTAATAAGGTCAACCGACAGGGTCCTTTAGCCTACAGAGCTTGTCCTACCTGAGTGAGTGTGTAGGTTTAAATGCCGCCATGCTAATTCCTGCTTTATTTAGAATCCTATGTAGGAGTTTAAGATGTTCTCTTCTTATGAGGTGTAACAGTGGATGACTTATATACTCTCTTATTTATGTTATCATTACTATTTTGACAATTATTTTTATTTTGCTTTTTGTCTTTACTTATCTTACTAATGAATTTCATAGGATAGCCAGTTATTTAACACCGACCAGCTTCTTCTTCTATCGGTTTCATTTCATCATTTAGGTGTTTTTTTTGTGCTACTTAGTACTACTGCTTGGTTTGTTAGACACTTACTTAACTAAGCCTGCCTTAACAGGAAACATTACTGTATAAAACTGTGAGACTTTATCAAAACAAATTTTACCCATAATGTAACCAACCCGCTCTTTTTGAGATAAACGTTTTCCGTTCAAGGACCGGCTAGATAGACCCAATTTAGAAAAGTAATATAATTTTACCAAATACCATGTAATGACCGACTGTAAGGTCAATTACATAGGTCAAACTAGTAGATTGGGGTCAAGTGGATTAGTGGAACATAAAAATTTAGGTAGAGCGCTAGAATGACTGACCATACTTAGTCAAATAACGTAGAGTGAAGCCCAGTCGTTGCAATGCATTCATTTTTCGTATAATCACACAATAAGGTGGGACAGGATGCGAGTATTAAGAAGTAATATAGTTAGGTAAAAAGAGAGAGAGAGAGAGGCTAATCACTGAAGTCTTAAAAACTTCATGCAATTCTTCCCATTAATAAAATTGAACAAAGTAAGAACAATAATTGTACCAGGATAATATTATGAGCTCATCTTTTATTATTTAATCGAGGATTCTTCTCAACTGGTTACAACCTGAATATTAAAAAATATGAATTACATTGAAACATATGAACATACTTTTCCACGATCATAAGGAGTTAATTGATAGGAATTAAAAGTAACATTAGTCCGGAATGATTTAACTGATTAGGAGTTACAAACACTGACCATTTATAGAATAATTAGACAATTAGGCTTAGATATAAGAATAAAACTTGTGCACTGTAGTAGAGTTTAATTTCATTATGGGTAAATATTTTTGTTTTGATAAAGTCTCACAGTGTTATACAGTAATATCAGTAAACATTACTGTATAACACTGTGGGACTTTATCAAAACAAAAATATTTACCCATAATGGAATTAGGCTTAGAAACAAAAAACAGGGTTGCGTATGTATGTGTGTGTATAGAAACAAGGTTTAGCTAGAAAGAGCATAACAAAAAAAGTGGATTACGTAAAGGAACAAGGTAGTATGAGTCATGTTTAGATAAGAGAGTAGAGTTTTCTAAACATGAAAAAGGGTGACTCACGACTTAAACCAAATATGTGTATGCAGAAAGAGACAGTGGTGAATCTTGCACTGCCCTGGTGATAACAAAAACATATATACAACTTTCACGAGTCACCCTTTTTCATGTTTAGAAAACTCTACTCTCTCATCTAAACATGACTCACCCTATCTAGTTTCTTTTCTTTCCTTTTCTCTATTGGCTATTAGATAAGACGTTCTCTTTAGTTACGTAATCCACTTTTTTTGTTATGCTCTTTCTAGCTAAACCTTGTTTCTATACACACACATACATACGCAACCCTGTTTTTTGTTTCTAAGCCTAATTCCATTATGGGTAAATATTTTTGTTTTGATAAAGTCCCACAGTGTTATACAGTAATGTTTACTGATATTACTGTATAACACTGTGAGACTTTATCAAAACAAAAATATTTACCCATAATGGAATTAAACTCTACTACAGTGCACAAGTTTTATTCTTATATCTAAGCCTAATTGTCTAATTATTCTATAAATGGTCAGTGTTTGTAACTCCTAATCAGTTAAATCATTCCGGACTAATGTTACTTTTAATTCCTATCAATTAACTCCTTATGATCGTGGAAAAGTATGTTCATATGTTTCAATGTAATTCATATTTTTTAATATTCAGGTTGTAACCAGTTGAGAAGAATCCTCGATTAAATAATAAAAGATGAGCTCATAATATTATCCTGGTACAGTTGTTGTTCTCACTGAAATTTTGTTTATCGGCTCAACTCTGCAGACGTATAATTGGAATGACGCAACGCCTATGCCGGAAAGTGGCTGATACGGAGACTGCCAACAAACAACAAAGGGAAGTTGGAGAGAAAGAATAATGCGAAAAGATATATATGACAAATTGTGAAACTGTGTGACTCAATTGATATGATATGCTGGGGACATCACTCGTACCTAATTCCCATGAAACTTCATGAACTCTCTACAACATCAACGAAATTCCAGTACTGGTCCAACAATGTCACCTTCGGTGATTTGGCCATGTTCTGCGCCGACCAGATGACGATCTGGTCAAATCAGTTCTAAATCCCTCGCCATTTCCATCCTGGCGATGTCGCAGGGGTGGACAGCTGAAAACATGGCTTGGTACAGTCAAGGCTGATATGGAGTGCCTGGGGCTACAAACCGTCTACGAACTCCGTCTGTGGAACAAGAATTGGATAACCCTGTCGCAAAAACTTGCATCAGATCGCTGCGCCTGGGCAGCGATGATTCGAGATGTTCATGAAGCCGGCTCATCCTCCCGTAGGAGAGATAGCCGAAGTAAACTAAACTAAACTAAATTGATATGATAATGAACGATAATTTATGCTCGAAACCTTGTCATCCAGTTGTTAATACTGCATTATCACTGTGTGTGTGTGTGTGTGTGATACTTAAAATAAACTTACCTAATATGGAATTACATTCCACCCCATATAGTGCCAATGGTCTACACTTACATTAGTTCATTTTATGATTAATGTTATGAGAAATTATATGCTCGAACCACTAAGTACAAAAATTCTACAGTACCATATTTAGCCCGTATTTTATGTGATGTGGAGACAATGTTAGACGTGAAACATATAAGCAGTTACTATGTAATTAGCAAAGTGAATCGACCCTTTCATTGTTCATCTTTCTGTAATTTTATGGTGTCACCCGTTCTATCGTTTAATTATAACTTTGATATTTTATTTTAATTGTTATTACTATTATTACTATAATTTTATAGTTTATGTATATTTTTCTCTGTATTGCATAGTGTAATTTGCTACATAGAGTTGCTATAACAACGTTTTGTTATTATTATTATTATTATGTAATGTTTATTTATTTATTTTGTCATTTTTTGAGTAAATTAGATGCAATAGTGTACTGAATGCTGAAAATTCTTTGCTGTATCATTAGTACTGTTTTTGGAATAAAGCAAAAAAAAATTTATTCTTATTAATTTTTCTATATATGTCTGATTTCCGACAAACTGGAAGATATGCAAGTGAAAAGCAACAAGCTAGCAGAAGAAGCACCCAGAGTAGATAGAACTTCAGGTGAACATAGATAAAACAGAGGTTATGAAGATTCCTGGCCAACACCAACAGCAACAACATACAACAATCAGCCAGCATAAATGGGAGGAACCTGAAAGAAACAACCTCCTCTACTTATCCTACCTGGGAAGCATCGTTTCAACTACAGACAGAGGGAACTGACGAGAATATCAAAGCCAGAATTGGAAAAGCAAAAGTCTGTGTGCAGGTCAACAGCACTCAGCATCAAAAATAAGATCCGGATTTTCAACTCCAAAGTGAAGCCAGTCAGTGCTACTATACGGATCAAAAACTTGGCCAACGCGTCATAAAGAGCATCTCAAACAAACTTCAGACCTTCATTAACCATTGTCTTCGCTCAACACTCAAGATCAGATGGCCGGCTAGAAAAGATCAACAACAGGAATCTTTGGGAGTGAACCAACCCACCATGATCCGATTGTGAAACAAATAGGCGGGAAGAAATGGAGATGGATTGGCTGGCCATACGCTGAGGAAACCATCAAGTGACATCACTAGATAAGTGATCGCTCGAGTGAAACCCGAAAGGGAAGCGGTGAGTTAGTCGTCAGTGCGAGGGTGACTTCGAGGAGGTCATGTAAAGGAAGAGGAGATGAAAGAGTGTGGGAGACTTGGAGCGGTGTGAAAAAGTTGGCAGAAAACCGTGGGCTATGGAGACCCGCAGCTGAAACCCTATGTTCCTCTAGGAATTAAATGATATAATAATAAATTTTTCTAGGTCAATTATGATATTATGCATCGACAACAGTTATTTTTATATTTTTTTGTTTGTTTTGTATATCTGAACAGGAAGAACGATGTTGTCATATATTTGGAACTAGTCATTCAAATCATCCAAGTATAAAGATAATTCAATCATCTGGTGATTGGTTAGTTGGTGGTGACTTGAAAGTATTTGAACGGATTCGGTGGAATGATGGTCTGGATCGATATCGTTTAACCCCGTGTGAACTGCATTCAAAATTGATACAAATGAAAGTACGAGAGAACATTTAGGCTTTTATTTAAATTTTTCAAGTTTTTTTGTTTTTCTTGTCTTATTTTGAGTTGCATTCTGGTGAGAATTTGTCAACAAATTGGTGGTTATAAGTTGAAATTTCTACTTCATTTCAAAAGCTAAAATTTCTATGATTGTTTTAACATCATTAGCGGGCAAATTTTGATCAAAAATGCGTGAGATATAATCCTGTACATGTTAGCTGTTTATAAGGTGGCCAATGATTTTACATAAAAATGATCTATGCCGTGATATACGATCCGAAAATCGCGATTTCACGTTGGTCACACAGAGTTTCTGCTGACTATCATAAGTTTTATTTGAGTTCTAGGTAAGTGACAACACGAACTAGACTTTTGGTGGCTTTTAAGGGAGAGTCATATTGACTTAAAGTATACGGATGATATTGCCCACCTGGGCAAAGACATTGACCAAAATGCAGAGTCTTCTGAACACCTTGAGCAGCAATCTTCAAATGTTTGGCATGCGATTTGTCCCTGTCAGATGTAAGCTGGTGATGATGCAGGACGGTTGAGTGTGTCGCATCAGCCCTAATCGATTGACTGATGACGAAATCTCAGCAGGAATAGAGATAGCTCGTGTGTGACATTTGCCACTTTACGAAATCTTTTGGTGTAGACGTGATATCCAACTGTTTCGATCGAAGGATGAGTGTACTGTGTGTGCACCGATTCTTTCTATTATTCTTTACGGCTGTGAGACATGGTCATCAGAAGCCAAAAAAAAATACGAAAGGGTTAGTTGTTTTGGACCATAGATGTTTACGTTCCATCTCCTGTGTTATTTGGCACAAATGTGGTGAGTAGTATTCAGGTTAGGTAGGCATGGAGTGTGCTAGGTAAGGAAAGGAAATCAATTGATGCGGTTGTTGAGCCATATATCGATTAAGATGACTAGGATATGTGTTGTACATTCTGAGAAACCGTCTTATTCATTGAGCAATGTCAACTAACATAGAATTGAGCTGAAAAAGCGTTTGGGACGATTAACCAAGACTTGGAATCAGCTCATGTGGTCTTTCACATTTGGTTTGAGGTAATAATAATGATAATGATAATAGCTTTATTCCAAAACAGTATTTGCGATACAGAATGGAATTCTCAGCATTTTACTACAGTATTGCATCCAGTTAGTATATTATTCAATAAAATAAAATTCTACATAGTTTAAGGAAATTTCAGTTCATTATGACAACAACATATTGGCATGTCGTTAGCAAAGCCAAAATTAAACAGAGTGTTTGAAGGTGCTAGAAAGGTAGGTTCTAGCATATTTACTGGCGTAAGCAGAAGAAAGAAACAAAGCTGCGCATAACAGAAAAAAAGAGAGAGAGAAAAGGAAAAGAAAGAAAGAAAGAAAAACGTTTTACCCATAATTGATATGAGTTGGAAAAACGAGATCCAGTTGTTTCTACATAACGGAGTGTTGGATACCTGGTTGAAGTAAAGTGGTTGGAGGCAATCGGCCATAGGAAGCCTTGCCTGACGTAAGTTTCGCGCTAGTCGACACTCATCAGCAAGGCGTTTCTGCAACTCTGAAGGTATTCATGTCCCTTCTGAGATTTGAACCCGCGTCACCCAGTGAATGCTGCAGTCAGGGACGTTACCACTGAGCTATTCGGGCTCGCGATTGACCACCTCCTGTAGGACTGTAGTAGATATTTTGATTTGACACTAGTAACTAGTGTGATGTGTCTAGTCCTCTCTTTGGTGCAGACTGAATTCTATCAGTCAGTCAGGTTGTAATGTGGCCACCATGCCACTAGGTAGTTCACCATCACGGTGCACATTGATTTGATATTTGACTGCAGCACTAGGTGACGCGGATTTGAATCTCAGAAGAGACATGAGTATCTTCAAGCTTGCAGATACGCCTTGCTGACTGGTGAGTGCCAACTAGCACGAAACCTAGGTCCCAAGGCTTCCTATGGCCGTGTGCCTCCAACCATCTAATATCATCAAATCAATGTGCATCGTGATGGCGAGCTACCTAGCGGCATGGTGGCCACATTACATCCTGACTGACTGATAGAATTCAGTCTGCACCAAAGATGGGACTAGATACATCACACTAGTTACTAGTGTCAAATCAAAGTACCTGGTTGAAGTCTTCAGGATGTTTGAAAACCAGGGCGTGGAGATTGTTGACGATGTGGCCTAAAATCGTTGTCAACAGTGTAATTGTATCGATTCTTTTTTTTTTCTTTTTTTTTTCCTTCACGTTCCCCAGTGGAACATGGGGTCTCAAGCTCTAGTGGCTTGAAGTTTCTGTAGCAGTGGTGTTTAATTTTACAGGTTGGGTTTGCTAGTCTCATGTCTAACCTTTCCTCCTTACCATCATTATTTCTGGCCTAGTGAGGTAAAGGACTACGTCGGCCGGGGAACCAACCCCGGACCATGTACATGGTTGGCGAGCGTCCTAACCGCTGTGCCACTCTTTGTCATATCCTGTATCCATCGAATCTTCCTGTCAATCCTTGTTACTGTTGTTTCTCGTTCTTTTTAAAAAAAATCTTTTAAGGCTGATTGTGTCTTTGCTTTTCAATTGAGAAATCCTGTACATAATGGTCATGCTTTATTAATGACTGAAACTAGACAACAGCTATTAGAAAAATATGGTTATCATAATCCAGTCCTGTTGCTGCATCCTCTTGGTGGTTGGACAAAATTGGATGATGTACCACTGAATATACGTATAGCACAACATGAAGCCTGTCTAGATGAAGGTGTTCTTGATCGACAGACAACATTGCTGGCAATATTTCCATCACCAATGTTATATGCTGGACCACGTGAAGTTCAATGGCATGCTCGTACTCGATTGTTAGCTGGTGCACAGTTTTATATAGTTGGAAGAGATCCAGCTGGTTTACCGCATCCTGATGGATCAGGTATTGATTTATATGATCCAACACATGGTGCCAAAGTATGTTTTATTTTTTTTTTAAAGACTTAGTGGAGTAATTTATTGCATTATGGTTTTATATTGTAATATTCTTTACAAGAGGTGGTGATTATGAACTTGTCATTGTATGAATACTCAACTCTTGTGAATGTTAGGTAAGTGTTTGGATAGACGACTGAAACGCTGGAAAGAACATTTTGAGGAGAAATTCAATTGGCCTATAGCCACGCTCAACCTGCCGAACATCCAACTCTTCCCTGAATGGGATATAAACACAGGTCCTCCGTCCCTAACTGAGGTTACTAAGGCTGTCAGTAGTTTGAAACGAGGGAAAGAAGCAGGACCTGATGGAATGACTCCAGAGGTATTTAAATACTCTCTGCGTTAACTGAGGTACTAGGCAGTGTCTGGGAATCAGAGGAAGTCCCATCGGGTAAGTCAATGATTATCCCCAAGTCTATCTGTGATAATCACAGAGAGATTAGCTTGACTAATTTAGTATCTAAAGTCCCAGGCTCAATTATATTGCGTAGACTGAGTGGTGCTCGGGAGGAACAAACACGAGAGAACCAGGCAGTCTTTAGACAAGGAAGAGGGTGTACTGATCATATCTTCGCCCTTCGACAGATTCTGGAACATAGCCATACATACAGTCGGCGTCCAACAATCGTTATATTTCTTGACCTAAAGGCGGCATTCGATTTCGTCGACCGAGAGGTACTCTGGCGATGCTTGACTGTAAAGGGAGTGACGAGAAAATACATTGCACTGATCAAGGCACTCTACTCGTACTCATACAGCCATCCAGGTGAGGGCTTACGGCGAGATGTCATCTGAAGTGGTAACGACTAGTGGTGTCAGTCAGGGAAGTCCGTTATCCCCCTTTCTATTCAACTTCATGATAGATGTACTAATGGACTTAACCCTAACTCACTGCATCGACACATGGATTGACTTGCTACTAGGGAATAATCTTGTTGATTTAGAATATGCAGACGGTATAATCCTTCTAGGCGAGGACGCTGACAAAATGCAGAGTCTTCTGAACACCTTGAGCTGCAGTCTCCAAATGTTTGGGATGCGATTCGCTCCCGCCAAATGGAAGATGATGTTACAGGACTGGACTACATTGACTCCTAGTTTAGAAATAGGAGGTGAAGTGGTAGAGCACGTTGACCGCTTCACTTATTTGGGAATTTGCATCAGTCCCAACGGGTTAATCTCTGACGAAATCTCCGAACGGATACAGAGGGCTAGTTTCGCATTTACCAGTTTACGCCGTATCTGGCGATAGTTAAGACATGTGGTACGTATGCCTGGTCATCGCCTTCCTCGACAATGGGCAATGTTAGCTGATATAGGGTCAGGCTGGAAAAGAGTTAGCTAGTGGTGGTCAAACCAAACCACATGGCTTCATCAGTCAATGAAATCCACAACAGTTAGTTTAAGCTAGTCACGTAGGAAGGTATAGACTGGCCTCCTGGTTGGGGTCCTCGGGACGGTAAAAACCAATGGTTGGAAACAATTGGTAATATGGCTCAAAATCGTTCTTAATGGCTGGCGCAGATGCATCCACTCCTTGTGACTTATGATTTCCAATGAAACTATATTGTTCTTTGTTATTACTATTCCTTTGTCTCACTCCTCTGTTTATTGTCTGTGTTAGGCATTTCTTCTACTTTCTTCCGTTGCTTTGTGTGCTACAAGGAGGGAGTGTGGTGACTTGAACTGCCACATATCGGTGCAAAGTTCTATGTCGAAAACAGACAGACAGACAGTGTTAGGTAGTGAAGTGTTCCTTGATTGTCTTAGTGAATATTTTAGATACATAACGAAATCTTCTCCAGATGATGAGAACCTGTGAAATAGAATGATATCAATTTATACTGCAAATTTTGTCTTCCTTTCTTTATCGAAATTAAATGGCATTATTCTCTACCCCACTTCTACTCAGTGTCTACCGGTAATTACCTCTGTTGCTACCCTGACCTAAGTTGAATCATTTTAGTCAATTATATTATATCATCTAACTTACTAACTCAATCTTACTTTAGTTGCTGCCTAATTAACCTTGTTTCTATATTAGATCATTCTCGTATTACCTGATCAATTATCTAAACTTGACAAACCTCATGTACACACACACACACACACACAAATAGTTATATATAAATGCGACCGTACAGCTGTGTAAATGAATTCGCCGAAGAGAGTCTCTTCGCTGAACGTCTTCTCTTTTTCAATTGATGATATGATTATAAATGGTATAAATTGTGTTAGAAACATCATACAGGCAATTATACTATTGTCTCAATGTGTGATATGTGTATACAATAAATTAATTATTGTGGAATTATGAAGGGCTGCAGACTTTTATCAGCAACTGCCTTCGCTATCTCTGCATATTGAAGATACGAGGTGGCTGGTCAGAAGGGATTAGTAACAAATCACTCTGGGAACAACACACAACCAAGAACCAAGTACCCAACACAGATGCAGAAGAAAGTGGAGATAGCTCGGTCACAAGCTGGGTGAACAATGACTTTTGCATCGCTTCGTGGGTGACATAGAGGAGAAGAAAGCTTACGGGCAATCGTGGGGTCAGATGTGAAGAGGACCTCAGGAGACAGGACGAATTGGTGATATGCTGTTGAAGCTCTACGTTTCACTCGGAGCCTAAGGGAGTAATAATAATAATAATAATTTTGTTTGATTGCATGGAGGATTTCATCATGAGCTGACGTCAGTCAGAGAACCACTGTAAAACCTGGTAGTACTGGATAGCTGTTCCATCAGCCTAGTTTGAGACTCTTCATCAGTACGTACCCACCCCACTGACAGGGAGTTCGAACCCAGGACCTTCTGGTTACAAGGCGAGCTCGTAGACCATTGAGCCACTTGGATCCAACCCAGCGGTCCTAACTTCTAACTCATCTTCAACCTGCTGTACCCTACTGGTCACGGCTTCCCACTAGATAAGGGAGTAACTTATCGAAGAAGACATTGCACATCGGTGGCGCTATGTCGTAAATTGTCAGAAGTTAGAATTCAAAGACCATTGGATCGGGTCCCAGTGGTTCAATGGTCTACGAGCTAGCTCACCTTGTAACCAGAAGGTCCTGGATTCGAACCTGGCAGTGGGGTGGGCGCGTGTACTGACGAAGAGTTTCAAACTAGGCTGACGGAACAGCTGTCCAGTACTCCCTGCAGGTTTTCCTATGGTCCCCTAACCAATGTCAGCTTATGATGAAATCGTCCATGCAATATTTACAATCTGTCACTTGGGATTCACTGAATATATGATGAAATTTCACTCTTAGTAAATGTAACCCAGATTCTATGGCTGAAACATGTCAGTGTAAATTCTTTCACTAGCCGTACTATTATTCATGGAACTAAACTCGATTATCCTGGCTTTGAATAGTCATGTCGTCATGGGTTGCATCGCTCTCATGTACCAAACTAAGAAACAACAGTTGTTCTGTGCTTTATAGTTCCCATATTCCTTCCTTGAGTTCTGAATGGAAGACAAGGAGGGCTACAACAGCACATCGCCATTTCACTCTGTTCTTCTCTATAGTCTTTTTTTTGTTAGCTGGCCCCATAATTGCCCTTTAGCTATCTTATCCTTGTACGATCTGCTCGATGTCGCTGTCGGATGGTGAACTAGTCTTTTCGCATTCGGTTTCCACTTGATGGCCTTGCGTATATTGTTCATCTACGGTCTCCTCAGCGTATGCCCATTCCATCTGAATTTCCTTTTTGCATATTTGTTAGGCGATAGATCCTTGATTGGTTTATTGAACTGCCAGAGTTTCTTGTTGCTTGGTCCTCCCCAATCGGTTATCTGATCTTTAGAATGAAGCTAGTGAAGGCGGAAGCCGTTGATAAAAGTCTTTAGTAGCCTGCTGAAAATATTTTGTGGCGCGTGACACATTCATGCCAGGTCTCTGAACCATATAGGAGAAATGGTTGACTTGCCATTAGTGTTGATTATCCAGATTTTGTTTCGTATACGGAGTGGAGTAGTAGGTTTCCACACTGATTTCAAACTAATGTAGGTCTGTATTTTACTTTTCCGATTCTGGATAGCGTTGACATCCTCTTATGAGCAAAGTTAAACTTTAAGCACCACTGTAACAACAGAAGACAAGGGCCAGGCAACAGATCGTTTTATTATGAAAATCAACACGTATTTATACATATTTCACATACATTATTATAGACAAGCGCAGTCATCTGATTGGTTGTTTGTCAGAAGTTAGGCAGACAAACGCAGGCTTCTGATTGGTTGTTTCGGGATTCCTTGACAAATAGAGTCCTCTATCTGCGAATCATATTTTGCCACGTTAACTTTGCTGTGATTGGTTGTTGACTCAGCCTTGTTCATATTTTCTCACGGCTCATATTAACGTAGCTTAGTGTCAACCAATCGGCTAGCAGCCTGCTCTCACCACACCACTAACTACCAATCAACAAATGGGCTTGAAAGCACCAATCACGTGAGAGAGGCATTTTTGTGTATGGAATACGTATATTTATGAAAAAATTGCCTAAAAACTGTATAAAAGTGTTACAGAGGATAGCTTCATCTCACATGGGATAAAAATAGTTCTCAGTTTTAGGTTGGTGTATCAACAGAGTATAATTCCATTGTGGGTAAAATTTATTTTGATAAAGTTTCATAGTGTTATACAGCAATATTTACTGAGCAATAGATTGTGGTCAACACATGGTCATCAGTAAATATTACTGTATAATACTGTGAGACTTTATTAAAATAAATTTTACCCACAATGGAATTAAAACTATACCACAGTGCACAAGTTCTATTCTTATGTCCACATAGTAATTTGACCACATTCAATGCATGTAATTATTTAGGTCTTTATTATGTACTCGTCGCCAAATTATTGTTATGCACTGGTCGAGAATTTAATAGTCCTGACGCAAGAAAGACGGAAATCAGAAGACCACTAGGTTTGCGATGATACTTCTATTTTCCAAACACAAGGAGAATCAATATATCACACAAGAGTGTGAGAGCAAAACTATATATGAATGTCCGAACAAGTGTGTGAACAATCAATAGACAGTCTTAACATGATTGGCTAATTATAACGGAGTATCGATCCATATATACATAGCAAAATATAGCAGACAAGTCAACAAACACACATATTATATGGATATATATATCAGTCTTCTAACCCTAGCAACAACCCTAATCTTCCCTAAAACTAATCCTAACGTAAAAGCATCCCTAAACTAACTGTAATCTAACTCGAACGAAACCTATTGTCGACTTTGTTAGATTAACCTAACCCTTTCTTGTCCTTGGCCTAAAGAGTAACTTAATCTTTCACAAACTTAAGCTGAAACTTGCCAGATATCCTATTTAATAGCATAATACTTCGATGAACATGTTTTATTGATGATGACATTATTATTATTTACCGGATTCCACTAACTTGCTCAATGAGCTTTTCAAGGTCATCGGTGCAGTGGCACTCCGTTGGTAATTAGAGTGGTGCTTAAAGTTTAACTCGGCCTTCATCTGTTCCACCATAAAATGAGTAAATAGTGTACTGTAGTTTATCCACATGAATTTTTGAATTAATTACTTTCGGCTTACCAGTTAGCTACTATTGTCACCTAAATCAGTCAAAAAATAAACTAAATTGATTGATGTGGTAATCTAGGTGATGTAATGAGTAGTGGTTGTCTACATGAAGGAGGAATACAAATTTGTATCACAGTAGGTTTCGAACCAGTGGCCTCCGGACTACTAGCCCAACGCTCTACCAGCTATGCTAATCAGGTCTTTGTCATTCCACTGCAGTCATCATGAGTAATACCTAAGTGTTGTCATGTGACACCAACTCCTAGCTTGAAGATAAGTGGTGAAGTGTGTAAACAACTCCACTAATTTGAGAAGTAGAATTAACAATAATAGACAGATTGCTGAAGAAATTTCAGCACGGATGCAAAAGCCTCACGTGGCATTTGCCAACTTGCATCGTCTTCGGGGTAAACATGATATTCAGTTAATATGGATTGAAGTGCGTATGTACTGCATACCATTTCACCCTGTCGTCCTTTATGGCTTTGAGACTTGACCATCGAAAGTGGGAGATATGATCAGGCTAGCTGTCATCAACTACAGATGTTTGCGCTCTGTCTTTCCCGTGTTAAGTGGTATAATATGATGATTAATATTGTGGTTAGGCGTCGAGTGTTATTAAAGAGGGAGGTTGTGAAATTGCATCGATTGAGATGACTAGGACACGTTTTGCGCCTTTCTTCGGGGGTAATTTTAGCCCGACTTCAGATTAAGTTAGGGAAAGCGTTAAGAGTAACCAAACTGAAGTAGGGCAACCATCTATGAAGTCGTTGACAATTGGTTTGACGTGTAAATAAATGTAGGGAGGTATAGATTATATGGCTAGGGTCTTAGGGATGCTGAGAACCAATATGTGCCGAAACTGTTGGTGCTTCGGTTCAAGATCGTTCTCAATGGTGCGGATGCATTCACTGTTTTTAACCCCCTAGATGCGTTAAACCCTCATGTGTTTCTAGGTTATCATTCTTTCTCAGAATAATTCTTTCAAATCTCTTTTTTTCCCTCTTTCATCTATCTCTATGTGCTATATGGAATGTGGCAACTTGGACTGTTGCACTTTTGTGCATATTTCTCTCTGTTGAAACTCAGTGAGTCAGTCAGTGTCAGTCAATTGTCATGAATGAATGATATACAACTTTCCGTTAATCACCACACTAGCTGCTGTCAGTAGATGTGGTCCTGTGAATCTCAGTCAGAGTAAATTAGAAGGAAAGGCGTAGGAGGTTGTTCACTGATCGATTGTGAGATTATCTGAGATAGTTTTGGGTTTAAATCTTCTAACTGATTAAAAATACCCATTAAAATTTTCAAAAGAATGGATACTGAACAAAGAGTACTCTTTTCGATAAATTCATCATCAAGCTCTACAGTTATATATACATTATAGTGAATGAATGAATTAGTGTTATGAACAACATTAATGTTGCTGTTTAAATAACATCGAATCAATAATATTGGTGGATTACAGCTCAATAGCATCAACATAAAATAAGCTGAATGTCAGAAAAATTAGGGAAGATAATATTACAAATTCATGAGTTTATAGTTTCTACTGAGGGCCAGGACAATAGTAGGGACTGGACTTGGTTCTTTTGGATACAGAGCGCTGGTTGTTTGAGGCGAATCGCAATAGCCTCTGTTGTTTGGAGCCTGCGGTGCTTCGATGTTTTTGGTAATTTATTTGGCACCAGGTATAATATAGAGAAGGATTCATCTACGCTGGCTTTGTGGCCTGTTTGCACCAGATGTTCCAATATCGAGCTGTTAATAGTTTTCACTACATCTTTACTTAGCCATGCTGGGAGATGTTCTCGGGCATGAAAAATCAAGTTCCTAGAGCGACGGCCAATATAACTGGCTCCACAAGCGCAGTTGAATTGGTAGATACAATTCGAAGTGGCTAGTCTAGGTACTTCATCTTTCAGTCGGGCAATCACCATCGGTCGTGTAGAGAATAATATGTGTAGTTTGCCAGCAGTAAAAGTTCTTTGAACTGATATTCTTAATTTCTTCGCCATTATCTCGCTTGGTATATCACCCATGAATTGTAGTCGTATATAAAGAGGCTTCTTTTTTACAGGTAGTGAGTAGTCCTTTTCCTGTTTCTTTGTCATGTGTTTCTTGATAAATTTTTCGGGATAGCCATTTTCGATCAAAGTATCATATACAGTGCTTAATTCATCTTCAGTTAATTTTTCTGTGTATATAGCTCTAACTCTGTGGCTGAGGGTCTTCATTAAATTTCTTTTGTACTTGATAGGAACGAAGCTGTGAAAATGTGTATACTGTCCTGTCCAAGTGCTTTTTCTATGCAAATTTCTTTTTATGCTACCATCTTATTTGTGTATTTGTTAACAGAATGTAGTAATTGCAGAGAGAGAGAGAGAGCATCGTTGGTTCACTGGTAGCGAATATTCAGCAGCTGGTCATGTGATAAACAGTGCGATCCACAGTCGATGCACTGCTGCGACTGACTTCTCTGATAGGTAAGCCCAGTAAAGGGGGAAGGTTAGGCGTGAGACTATCAACCCCGCATCACTGTTATTCAAACTTTAAAGCTCACAGCTTGAAACTTGGTTTATTTCACAACAGTATAATGAGTGTAATTGAATGGAAGAGAGAATAATTAAGCATATATGTATAAGCACACTTTGCTAGTCATTAGTTGTTTTTTTCCCAAAACATATCTCTTTCATTCATTCTTTTCTTTCTTTCTTTCCCAGGTATTATCAATGGCACCTGGACTATCCGGTTTAAAGATTATTCCATTTCGTGTTGCAGCCTATGATAAATCCATTGGCAAGATGACATTTTTCGATGCAAAACGTGCTAGTGATTTCATCTTTATATCTGGTACTAAAATGCGAACTCTGGCTCGTGATGGATTAAATCCACCGGATGGATTTATGGCGGCTAGTGCATGGAAAGTGTTAGCTGATTATTATCGTCAATTAAATAAATAAAAGTACTACTGAAATAGTAGTATAGTAGTAGTAGTAGTACTAGTGGTGATACTAACAATAGAAGTGATAAAAATCTTTCATCGTATGTCTTCCTTCCTCTGGGATGTATGAGGACGCGGGCGCGTGCGTGTCTGTGATTCATCTCAGGCTCTTCAACTGTTGATTTTGGTGGTGGGGGGGTGTTCTTGTTATTATTGCTATTTTTATTATTTTCTAACACTACTTTACACCTTTTGTGTACTTCACAATCATGTTAGCAAAATATATATATCAAGGCTTTGAAGTGATCCTTTTGTGTATATTTGGAAAGAATCTCCTCCAATCAACCTTATCATCTAATTTGTATTTTTCTAACTTTTCAATTATTAGAATTTTGCCAATGGTCATTAATGAGAAAGTGGTGCAATATACACACTAATCTTGACTAATTTTTTCCATCACATGGTGTCTTGGTTTTTTTTACTCTTGATTTTGCAAACTAATATATAGAGATTTTGTTTGATTAGATGGAGGAGTTCATCATGAGATGACATCAGTGAGAGAACCACTGAAAACTAACAGGGAGTACTGGACAGCTGTTTTGTCAGCTAAGTTTGCGACTCTTCATCAGTACGCACCCACCCCACTGCCAGGAGTCGAATCGAGAACCTCGTGGTTGCAAGGCAAGCTCGTAGGTTTTCTAATGGTTCTCTACCGGACGTCAGCTCATGATGAACTCCATCTAATATATATTGTGTGCCTCCTATATTTGTCTAACCAATAGTGTATGTGATATCGCTCTCTGTCTTTTCTACTGATTAATAATTATTTCATTATTTATTTGTTAATATTTTTTACATTTCTTCTGTGTGCCTGTGTGTGTGTGTGTCAATGATCACTACTCACATATCGTGAGTAGTATTGGATTCTTTATTTATGTATGTTGACGTACACTATTCTTTTTGGTTATTTTATATATAGTGATGAATATGAACTCATATGTTGCGTCTTAATTGGAAACACATTCCTGACCATCTTTTCTACTCTGTTTTTTATATGCCTAACTATAATTTTAAATCATCCTCGTCATCATCATCATGATGTTTACTCCTAAATGTGTAGAATTTGTATTCAAGTTGTGATTTTATTTAATTTTTTTTTCTCTTCTTTTGACTTTCTATTAATTATCGTCTGACTTTATTTTCTGCTTTGGTTTATTTGTTTGTTTGTTTTTTGTTTGAATACAAGCTATACACGTAGTAAAAATTTCTTGATTTCTTGATTTATGGATATACTCAAAAACACCCTACTTGGTAGATTCAGGGGAGCCAAGCACCTGAAGGTACTTTCCGGACTCACAGACCGAAGCTTCTCAAGTTTTTTTTGAAGCTGATCCACAAGTCAGTGGAATATTCGACTGGAGGTGCGTTCCTGTGCTTTGTGGTGAGTGATCAAAACAGATTGGTTTGGAGTGTGTGGCATCGAGGTTTTCTAGCTCTGCTTAGGTAGGTTTCTCATGTGCCAGTTTACGCCGTCTCTGGCGTAGACGTGATATCCGACTATCGACCAAAGGGTGGGTGTTACTGCTCATCAGTCCGCTCCGTCCTCCTATATGGCTGTGAGACCTAGCCATTGAGAATGAAAGGCATGAAAAAATTAGCTGTCGTTGATCATAGGTATCTGCGTTCTATCTCCCGTGTGAAGTGGTTTAATAAGGTGAGCAATACTGAATTCAAGCGTCAGACGAGTGCAAGGTCAGGAGAGGAAATCAATAGATGAGGTTATGAAATTACATCGACCGAGCTGGTTAGGACATGTGTTACGTATGCCTAGTCATCGCCTTCCTTGACAATGGGCAATGTTAGCTGATATAGGGTCAGGCTGGAAAAGAGTTAGCTAGTGGTGTTCAAACCAAAACATCGCTTCATCAGTCAATGAAATCCACAACAGTTAGTTTAAGCTAGTCACGTAGGAAGGTATAGACTGGCCTCCTGGTTGGGGTCCTCGGGACGGTAAAAACCAGTGGCTGTAAACAATCAGTGATATGGCTCAAAACCGTTCTCGGTGATGGTGCAGATGCATCCACTCCTTGTGACTTATGATTTCCAGTGAATTTCTATTGTTCTTCGTTATTACTATTCCTTTGTCTCACACCTCTGTTTACAGTCTCTAATATGCATTTCTTCTACTTTCTTGTGTTGTTATGTGTGCTACAAGGAGGGAGTGTGGTGACTTGAACTTCCGCACATCGGTGCAAAGTTCTATGTCGAAGACTGACAGACAGGATTTATGCCTTGTGCAGAATCTTTAGATAGTATACAAACTGATAGTGTATCTTGTTTAATTATATATTTCTATTTAAATTTTTTTCCGATATGTTCTTAGTGCGTTTCCTTCGGAGAATTTCTGACTGTAGATAGAAACCTATTTGGATTGTTTCGAGGATCCCTTTTTGAGCTGATATCAGTTACAGAACCTGCAGAGAGTACTGGACTGTTATAACTGTAGGGAATTGAATGAAGACGTTTTCACCTTATTCTGTCTGCGCCTGAACTAATCTGCCTATCTGCTTGTCGTACCTTCCGATTTAGTAAAGCACGCAAATATCAAAAGACAAAGGCTGGACTGTGACTGTGTATTGAAGTGCAACAACGATAAAGAAAGCCATGGTATTTATACATTTTACAACAATATGGACAGCTAACAGCATTTGAAATAATTTATCTTAATAGCCAATAACAAAGTGCGTGAGAGATGATAATATACCATATGTGCGAGGTTGACAGTCAGTAACAAAATGTGTGGGAATGATAATATACCATATATACAAAATTAGCAGTCACTACCAAAATGTGTGAGAATGATAATATACCATATATACAAAATTAGCAGTCACTACCAAAATGCGTGAGAATGATAATATACCATATATACAAAATTAGCAGTCAATACCAAAATGTGTGAGAATGATAACATACCATATATGCAAGTTTAAACAGTCAATACCAAAATATGTGGGATCCTATCACCTCCCCCCGTAAAGAGTGTAGGACTTGCTTTTTGGATCTATTTGAAAAGGTTTCGGAGCTCTTCTTTGTCGAGTTGACCTTCGCATGGTACTGGATAGAGTGTGATCTGTGTCCCGGGCTTCCGGCTGCGGAAGATTAAATGTATCTACTAATACTTCTAACGTGAGGTCTCGTCTCCCATTGTCAAGTCTATCTGACGCATCTCGTATATGATTCGTGTGTCTGACACATAACTGTCCTTCTACATTCACTTTGTATAAAACCCTTCCTTTCTGCCCCACTATTTGTCCTCGAATCCATCTCGGAGGTGAATAGCGAAAATCTCGTACATAAACTTGCTGATACAATTTGAAAACTCGACGTTTAGCTCCGTGATGGCGATTGAATTGGTTTTCCATTTTTGTATTTCTGCAGCCCTGCTTTACTTGCCTAGGCTTAATTGAGTCGAGGGCAGTTCTGATCTTTCGGCCAAATATAATTTCCGCTGGGGATAACTGATTTGGGGCGGAAGGATTTGGCGTCGTACGATAATGCAGCAAGAATCTATCCAAAATTTCTTCTGTTGTTCCCTCCCCCTTCGCTTTTGCATAAGCACGCTTAAAAGTGTCGACGAAACGTTCAGCCTGTCCATTCGATTGGGGATGATACGGGGGGCTACGAATATGCTGGATGCCAAACTGTTTGCAGAAATCTGAGAACAGTGATGAGGTGAACTGCGATCCATTATCGGACACCAGAACATCAGGCATACCAAAACGACAGAATAGTTGACGTAGGTGGGACACTGTTGCAATTGATGTGGCAGAATGCATAGGAAATATCTCTGGCCATTTGGAAAACGCGTCGACACATATTAAGAAATGCATACTATTGAACGGTCCAGCGAAGTCAACATGAACACGGGACCATGGTTTGTCCGGTCGTGGCCAGGAACATAGTTCTGTCTTGCGTGGACACTTTGATGCTTGAGCACATTTACTACACTTGCGAACGAGGTCTTCGATATGGTCATCGATGTTGGGCCAGTAAACATAACTGCGAGCGATCGCCTTCATTCTCCCAACACCAGGATGTGATATATGAAGCTGCCGAAGCACATGGTCACGAAGATTAGCTGGAACCACAACACGATCAGCAAACATTATGCATTCATTAACGATGGATAGGGATTGGCGTCGCTGGTAAAACTGTTTTAAAACATTTGAATGAACATGTGGAGGCCAGCCAAATCGGATGAACTTTGATACTTGCTGTAAAACTGGATCACGCAGTGTGTGTCTGGCAACCTCAACTGCAGTCACCGGAAGAAGTTGAGTCGCGCCTACCAGAACTCTGTTTACATCATCTTCAACAGAGATGGATGCAATAACAACATCCTCGCTTTCCAACTTCTGATGGCTTAGCAGCCGTGATAATGCATCTACCTGGCCAAATTCAGAGGTAGGTTTGTATTTGATATCAAAATTATATCCCAGTAACATGACAGCCCACCTTTGAAGCCGATTCGCAGTGTACACTGGAACGCCCTTTTTCGAACCAAATATCGATAACAGGGGTTTATGGTCAGTAAATAGGGTGAATTTCCTACCATGAAGCATTTTGTGAAACTTTTTGACTGCGAAGATAAGCGCCAAACCTTCTTTCTCAATTTGGCTATATTTGCGTTCGGTTGTATTCAGTGTTCTAGATGCATGTGCAATAGCTTTCTCCCTTCCGTCAGGAAAACGATGAGATATAACAGCACCAATACCATAGTCGGATGCATCTGCAGCAAGGATGATTTCAAGACTTGGATCATAATAAGTAAGCAGCATGTCTGACTGGAGTAACGATTTTACTTTTTTAAATGCATTTTGACATTCAGGTGACCAATTCCATTTTGCATTTTTCGATAACAGGCGATTCAGTGGAGCACGTATGTGATGAAGCTCTGGTAGAAATGCACTGTAATAGCTGATGAGGCCAAGGAAAGATCGCAGAGTGGCAACATTGGTGGGAGCGGGCATATTCTGAATAGCACGTACATTTTCTGGGTCTGGTCGACGTCCATGTTGATCGAAAATGAACCCAAGATACTTTACTGAATCCATGAAAAATGTACATTTATCCTCTTTAAGGTAGAACCCAAACTCTGACATTTTGGATAGCACAGCGTCAAGTCGATCAAACAATTCAGACTTACTACTCCCTGTGATTATCACATCGTCGAGGTAGACAGCAACACCAGGTTGGTTAGCAAGCATAGTATCCATGATCTGCTGAAAAATTGCGGGTGCTGGTTTCACACCAAATGGTAAGCGAGTAAACTGGTAGAGACCTCTATGAGTGTTGATTGTTAGCAACTCTTGAGACTTTGGTTCAACTTCTATTTGAAGATAAGCATCAGCAAGGTCAATTTTTGCAAAACATTTTCCACCATTAAGTTTGACGAATAAGTCTTCTTGAATTGGTAATGGATAAGCATGGTCCTCTAGAGCATCATTTAACCCAGTTGAGAAATCTGCACACAGGCGAATGGAACCATTTGCTTTGCGTACAACAACTATCGGAGCAGCCCAGGGCGAATACGTTACTGGTTTGATGACACCCAATGCTTCCAGTCTGTCGAGTTCATTCTCAACCAATGTGACAGCAGCATACGGAACTGGACGTTTTGGACGAAAAATTGGCTTCGCGTTTGGCTTTAGAGACAAAACAACTTGGGTAAATTTGCAGCAACCAAGTTTGTCCTGGAAGACAGAAGCGTGCTTTTGACGAAGGCGTTGCAAGAGAGATTGATCAGATACATCTCCGGGAACAACGTTGTGTGGTGAAGACGAAACATTAGAGCATACTGAATTTAATGGTACATTAAAGATATGGAGCTTGTCTAACCAGTCAAGACCAAGCAAATCCAAATCATGGTAGTTTGTAACGTAACATACACCATTGAAGTGATGCTCACCAAACTGAACTTGGCAATTTATCTCACCCACGAGTTTCAGTATATCCCCAGAGGCATTCTTAGCGACATGCTCGGTCGGCAGAATCTGTGGGCACCCAAGTATGCGCCACGTAGTTCGGGAAATTAAGGTAATATCTGATGCTGTATCCAACTGAAGACGGATATGTTTGCCATTAATACCTAGCGTAATGTACTTTCGTTTGCTGGCGAAATCGACTTTAGAAGTTGTGAAAATGGTCTGTGCTCGAGGAGATTGTTTCGGCTCGAAACGACTACTTCGGTTCCTCACCGAAGGATTTTT